TTCTGAGTGAAGCTGATGTGAGAAATGAAACCAGGACGGGTTAGAGTTAGATTTTATTAGAAAGACACACAACACACACACACACACACACACACACACAGACACACAGACACAGACACACTCACACACACATATACAAACTAACACACACACACACGATTATTATAATGTAAAATACTTTGTACTTGTGATAACAGCTCCGTTTTCAAAAGTTAACTCTCATAATTGTTTAATTGGGGGGGGGTTGGGTTAGGGGTCATGGGTCAGAGGTCAGGGGTCAGTGGAGTTTAAACTTTGCAGAAACCTCAAGTTGTATCTTTAGGGTCAGTGTTAACCCAGAGACTCCTAAAGTTACTGAGAGGTCACAAACGTTTGTGATTAAATGATCAGTTATTGGGTGCATGGCCATGGTTTTCAAACAAGAATTGATATTGTGTTATTTTTAATTGTATCGTATCGAAGTGTACATTTATGATATCGTGACAACCTGAACACACAAGCAGCATGTTGTGAGCAGAGCAGAAGCTGCGGGACACCAACCAGCAACAAGCAGCTCTTTGAATGAGCTGTGACAAGGTGTTGTTCTTTCCCCCTCCCTCCCTCTGTCTTCTGTCTTCCGGGAACACTAATAGGCTCCATGCAGAGTAATGTGACCAACTGAATCATCCTCGCCGGAGCTGGAGGCTGCAGAGCGGAGACACAGAGAGCCGAGCGCGCTCAGTCCGGCTCCCACACCGAGGAAACTCTCCGGGGTGACGTATCCTCACTGGACTCCTCTTGGACTATACAGGGACACTAGCTGCTCTCTTCCATCCACCAGGACCCCCTTTTCTCCAGCTCCACAGACCTCAGATCAGCTCTCAGGTCACTGGGCCCCTGGTTAGGCCTGACTGCAGCTCTTGGTAAGTGTCATGCTGGGCACACTGATGCCCTCAAACCACAGAGACAAAGACACACTGATCTGATCAGTACTGATAAACCTGTTTAACATTTTCAGGTGCCATCCATTTGTTAAACTAAATATTGAGAGGAGATTAAAGGTTTCATGGGCACACAAGGGCATTTGAAAGTCAAAACCACAAACTCTCTGTCTGCAATTAAGCAGATATTTTACTTTTTGAGACATTTTCATTGTGTAGAATAAGTTAAATCTGCAAACTAAAAGGTACATACACTTTCTGAGTTTGCTATAAGGACTCTTTTCCATTGACTACTTTTCTTGAGTTAGCACAATTAGCTTAGCACCTGAAAAATGTCTGACTATAAGTGAGGCGAAGAGACAACTTCAATCAGTCTCTGTCTCCAGCAGCCTGAAGGGACCGAACACAAAGTGTTGTTTGTTTCCTTACATCACAAGTTCAACTTATTCAGGGGATAAACTTAAAGCGGTGGATCCAAAGTTTAGTGAATGAAGCCGATCAGAAGTTTGTAAGGATGAAGCGTCCCGGGATCTTTAAGTTTGAAATATTCTGTTTGTAAAATCACAATCTTTGTCATCACTCACTTGCAGCGTTAAAATGAACTCATAGACATAGATGATTAGACATAGCTTTAAAGTTCACACACACACACACACACACACACACACACACACACACACACACACACACACACACACACACACTCTTAGCCCCACAGATCAAACTCTGTTCAAAATAAATAATAAATGTAGTCTATAAAAATTAAATAACTTCTGTAACATTGTTAGAACATTTATTTTGATCATTGGGTCAGGACTCTCGTCAGTTTGTTTTAATCTAACGTGAGTTTTATGTGACAGTGAAAGTGTTTGACTTGTTCATAAAAACATTTTCCAAAAAGCAACTAAAACAAACTTTTATGAAAACCAGGTTGTTTGTTTTCTTACGTTTAATAAACTGGTTAGGAACCTCCATCTCTTAGTAACCATCACGTTTTCACAGCCTTACCTGAACCAATCACCTGTAACAACTCTTCACTTTGACTTCTGAACACTGATATGAAACCAGCTGCCAGTGAACACAACACAGAGGGCAACAGTCAGAACAAACTCTGCTAACCGATCAAATGATGTTTGAAAGAGATTCCTCCCTTGGTGACATTAAGAGTTAAACTATCAGCAGCTCAGAGAGTTTAGAGGTGCAAGTGGATGATTGTTTAAACCTATGAAAGAACCACGTGGACTTTTCCTCCTGCTTCCTGTCTCCTATGTTAAGATAGGATAACCATGACTCTTAGCATGAACTGGCTGAGAGAGCAGAAGAAACATAAAGACACACATACAAACGAATGTAACCAGGCGTGGCATTAACCACATACTTTTTTAACAATGATGGAAAAATCTATAGGCTGTCATTTTGACAGATTAGATACCAAAGGCACCAGAATCCCTTTTAGCAAGTTCCTTTGTCTGACCAGAGGAACTTGAACCAGACTCACATTGAACAGACAGAAACCTGGATCAGGACCAGACTCATGATGAACAGACAGAAACCTGGATCAGAACCAGACTCATGTTGACGAGACAGATACCTGGATCAGAACCAGACTCATGTGGAACAGACAGAAACCTGGATCAGAACCAGACTCATTTTGAACAGACAGATACCTGGATCAGAACCAGACTCATGATGAACAGGCAGAAACCCTGGATCAGAACCAGACTCATGTGGGACAGCCATCAGCTGAGACTGAGTTGGGTTGAGAGTGGATAGACTGATAGAGAGAACTAAAATAGTCAATATGTTAATTCCCGGTTCCTTATCAATAGAAGAGCCAAGACAGAAATGTCACAATGACCGCTGTGACAGACCACGGAGGTCATGTGATCATTTACAGCGTGTTATCAGGCGACAGGTTCCTCATCTTCATCACACAATCAATCAGTCATTGCCCTTCCTGCTGTTTGTCTGTGATGGGGATCTGTTTTCTTAACTCCAGCTCGTGTTGATAATGAATCCTGAACTGACACAAACTGACGAACAAATTCAAAATACTTTTAAAGTTTAAACTTTGTGACACAAACTTGATCAGTTATTTACTTAAGTTCATGTTTTACGGCAAATAGTCACTTTTGAAAAAACAAGGCTAAGCCTAACCTTAAAACAATGAACACTGACACTAAACCAGGACTCTGTAAAGTGTGTCATGTGTTCATGACTAATGTAGTCAGACTAAACACATGAAGAACATGATTATATTCTCAATAAGTAGATGAAGGGGCTTTAATGTAACATTTAAATTATACTGCAGTCATCTAGAAACAAACCTTTACAGCCTGCCTCTGATTCTTGTTGTGAGTCTTTAAAATATAATCCTGACACGGTGTGTACGTGAGATTCATGCTTCAGCTAAGAAATACCAGACTGTGTGTCCTTGTCAGATGAAGTTTGTGTCACTGATATGAAAAGTGTTTTTTCTTTCTATAGAAGATATGAAAAAGAGAAGATGGTTGAAATTCTCTCCTTGGTAAAGTTGTTTTTGTTCTTCCAAACAGACAGAGTTTGATAGAAGGTATGTAGCTCAAGATTCACTGTTTAATTTAAATTATGTGTAAAATGAGAGGGAACGTATGGTGTACTTGTTAAACAGGCCAAGCTGAGCGTTGCAGTGCGGTCGGTTTAAAGCTCCCTGCAGATGAAAGACACATTCCTACTCTGCATGTCGCTGTGTTCCTCAGACTGATCCCAGCTGGGACCAGCTCTAATCTCCTGGCAACAATATTGACATAGAAATAGAAACTCTGACAAAGACAGACTCTGAAGCTGTCCACATGGCCTGCACATACACCTGCTGATAAGTCACTGCACACATATGTATGTCCTGTTTCATACCTCTGCTGAGCACACACTCTATGCACATGTCTTGTTTCAGTTACGAACATGGTGCCTCTGCATGGATTTAGGATGAGGAATCATATTTCAGACCATTGATCGTTTACTTTTTTACAAAGACCTCCAGGACTCGTTAATGTAGCTACACTCAGAGAAACAGTTCGGTGCCTTCTTGTTTAAGACTGCAGAATTAATTTTCTCATCACTTTACTCAAAGTCAAGTCGGACTCAGTCACTGATTTGATGACTTGAGACTTGATTTCACGCAAAAATAGCTTAACCCTTTTAAAACAAGCCTCTGCGGGTGTGCACAGGATTACATGTTTGCACAATGCTAACTATAAATTCCAAAGACATCATTCTTTTTAAAAATAAATATGTAACTTTTGTTTGCATTCTTAAAATGTGCATTCATTGATGATGTTCTGATGTTATTGGGGAGTAGCACTATAAAAAAGAACCTACTGTTGTCTTAACATCTGTTTGTCTGACTTCCTGGTGAAGGTTGATGCTAAGACTTGTCAAATGTGTTTTAAGGTTTCCACCAACATGATGGAAATAGAGGCATTTTAAAGAAAGTGCTCCCTATCCAAAAAACTCCTGTCTACACCAGTGAGTCTGATTCTGCTCAAGGTTTCTGCCTGTGGATAAAATGTGGATTGATGTTGGGTCTCTCTTAGTATAGTATATCACATAAAACAGACCATGATGTTTATGGAAAGTGTCCTTTATAGAAACAAAAGTGACTGATTCCCAGGGTAAATTATTTCATGAAAAAAAAAACATGACAAAAAATTGTTGCAAAGTATTTCTGCCTAGACCAAAGTGACAAAACATTGGTAGGGACTATTTTAGGGAAACCAACTCAAAATGCAGCTGTGTTTAGACAACAGTTGCCTATAACTATTCACATCATTAAAAAAGTCCCGACAGGGCCACAGAGTCTGACCAGGGGCATAAAAGCCTACACAAAATCTAGGGGAAAAAGTATTTTCCAGCTGTTTCATATTCTGTTTGTGCTATGAACTTTGCTTGCTCATAAGCTGACAACTATACCTGGCTCTCTTTCAGGATCGTCCTCACCTTGACTCGCTCTGATCGAGATCTATATACAGCCATGACCACCAAATCCACCAGTCTGGTTCTGGGTGGAAAGGCCTCCTCCTCACCTCTCCTGTCCTCTCCGCCCTGTCAGCGCCTCGTCACCAAAGATGGACACTGTGCCTCCAGCCTACTCTGTGCCCTTCAGGGTCCTGGCGGGGGGCTTTGAGCAGAGCTTGGCGGCTGGCCCTGCAGGATCTGTGGGGACTTTTGGTGGGTCTACGATGGAGGTGGGTCCTTCTGGCTTTCTGTGCGTCCTTTCTGGCACACTGGCTGCTGTTTGCCTGCCTCTGGTACCTGCTGGCCCATCTGAATGGAGACTTGGCGGTGCAGGACCATGATGCCCCCCCACAGGGGCACGTGGTCTGTGTGAAGCACATCACCAGCTTCACTGCAGCCTTCTCTTTCTCCCTGGAGACACAGCTGACCATCGGATACGGCACCATGTTCCCCAGTGGAGACTGTCCGAGTGCCATTGCTCTGCTGGCTGTGCAGATGCTGCTAGGGCTCATGCTGGAGGCTTTCATCACAGGTACGACTCTCCGATTATGAAACTCTCCATCTCCACTATCAGCATAATCTTCAAGGCTATTAGTTTTATAACTGGTGATTTGCTTTTGTCTAAAAATTAATTCAGAGTGCACCACCTCCATTGCTGTCGAACAGAGGAAAGTAATGAGATCTGGCATGAATGGTAAAGGATTTAGGAATGTCTGGAATGTGGAGCACTTGAAACTCTACCAATTATTTTGCCAGGCCAGTTTCTATTAGTGCTTTCACACCTGCAGTAAACTACTGAAGTGTTCGTGCTGAGCGTCATGTGTGAACACAAACAGCTGAATGTTTCTCTCTTCACCCGGAGTTTCTCCTCCAGCCTCCTCGTATTTATTCTGCAGAAAGTCAGAGTGAGCTGATGATAGAACACAGCAGGATATAATCAGGAGAATTCACCTGGAGCGAGTGGAAGGGGGTGGTGACGTTTATTTCCTGTGATCACTGCACGACCATAGACTGTCTGCACGCCACCTCTACGATCTCTGTGCTCTAATGAACCTGCTGCATTATGTTTCCTGTTCTCCAGTATGTTATTCTTCAGATTGAGATTCTGTTCAACTAAACATAGCTTTGATAGAAAGATACATGTTCTCATTATAGCGTCGTATAGAGGACTCGTCCGCTACTTCCGCATCTTTTTTTTATTTTATGTCACGTCTCCCGCTCAGTTTAGCAGCTTTAATGTATACAGATAATCGTGTAACCCGAGTTATGTTTTTGCACAAACTGATGTAATATTACTGAACATTGTCATTCCACATGAGCCTTCGGCTTCTCACAACACCTCCGTCTGCTTGACAACAATGAGGGGGAGTAGTGATGGAGACATAACAGCACTGTGTCTCTTACAACAATGCAGTTGCACTCAGAGACCTCCACTTAATCGTTTGAATGTGGGAAAAAAACACTAAAGAACTTAAATATAGGATACAGCAGTCTAAGCAGGAGGGGCAGTATGAAATGCTGTTACTTGTCAAATTAAACACTTTGGTTGATGCATATTGACCCCTGTAGCCTCCATGAGCAATCCATTTGTATCAACCATTAGCCCAAAATTTTAATTACATTTTCACTTGAATTCCTTCCAAATGTTGATCGTACACTGACCCATGAGAATCTGCAGGAACACATTACCTGGGGCTGCTGATTCAGTCCTTAACAGTCCATTAAATGGCTGGAATAAGTTGTCATCAGAAGCTTGGAGTAGAGTTGCTACTTCATATTGAAAGAGGAGTAAGGATCCCTCCTGGGAGGGAGGAGGCCTGGTGATATAAAAATGTATGCCTGATGGAAACACAAGAACAACACAGGGGAAATGGGAAAGACCTGTAGCTAAGACCAAGGCCATGACACTAAGAGCATCAATGCATCCATTTTCTTCCGACTTCCATTAATGGGTCACAACAGCAGCCAGGTATTCCAGATGTTCCTTTATCTATCAACTTTTAGAAGCTTTTCCTAGGTGATTCTGAGGCCATATGGGATGCCTTATTCCTCAAGTGTGCCTGGAAAACCTCCACAGACACTTTTGGGGACCCTGATGGGATACCCAAACCACCATAACTGGCTCTGATCCAAGCAATACAAAAAACCGTCTTTGTCTTTAAACTCAGTCTAGTGGTAACTGTAATTCAATGGAGTTGCAAAGATGAATGAATAAATCAAACCAACATGAGACTTTTACCCAGACGACCAGGGTTTGTTTTTGCTTAAATGAGAAATCAGGGAGAGAGCGTGGGGAATGACATGTGAGAAAGGAGCCACAGGTTGGATTTGAATCTGGGCTGCCTCCATACATGGGGCACGCGCACTAACCACTTCGCCACTAGCGCCCCAGAGGTGTAGTTTTAAATGAAGGAGCTGGGAAAGTATTGCCTTTCACTTCAGTTGGGTTGGTACCATTTTCTTTGAAATACTTTAGACAGAGGTGAAAATATATCAGGCACAATCATTCATTATTATCAACTGATCTTTGGCCTTAAAATGGTCTCAAATATCCAAAACATCAGAAGAGTGGGTTATTAAACAATGAAAATTACCAAAAAAACAAATCAGAAAAGGCTGAACAATATTATGAATGAGACATCTGTTCTTAGTTACATTTGACACCCCCCCTCATATGACTATTTTATTTTATTTCTTAATGATTATACACAAAAAAAAATCTCCCAATCATATGATTTTGATATCTCATTTTCTTACCCTTCAGGTGCCTTCGTAGCAAAAATTGCTCGTCCCCAGAAGCGAGCAGGAGCTATCCAGTTCAGCCCCCAGGCGGTGGTGGGCAAACACCAAGGCCAGACGTGCCTCATGATAAGAGCCACCAATCTGCTGCAGCGACCCCTGGTGGACGTGAAGGTGAGTGCTGTGCTCTATGAGGAGCATGAAGGGCAGGCCCTCCACCAGACCTCTCTTGACTTCTACCTGGATCATCTGGGCCAACAACCTTGTCCCTTCTTCATATTCCCGCTCACCTTTTACCATCCCCTGGACCGTCGGAGTCCCCTGTATCCTGCCCTGTGTGAGGGCATGTCCAACCACTTTGAGCTGGTGATCTTCCTGTCCGCCTTACAGGAGGGAACTGGAGACTCTTGCCAGAAGAGGACCTCCTACCTGCGGCAGGAAATCCAGTTTGACCGTCGCTTTGTGCCGGCCTTGGGGCTGGATGCTCGGGGAAGATACATAGTGAGCACTCAGCACTTTGAAACGGCCCACTCAAAGGAACCTCTGAGTAAGGACTGTGTGGTGCAGGTTAACGGGGATGGTAGTGACAGAATGGAGTAAGGGTGTAGAAGGGCAGCCTAATATGGAGGGCATGGAACAGTGGGGCAGATAGCTTCATCGTGAGGTTCTTGATTTAATTTGGGAATTAATTTTAAAAAATGCTTAATTTGAAATATACCGGGGATGGGGGCTGCTTCAGACTCCCTTATTACCCCTACCCAACCATTCCTTCTAAAGTAATAAAAATGATAACCCCCTACTGGCTTCCATACCCCCCCCCCCCCCCCCAATATCCTGTTGTTTTGAATTTAATGTTTTGTAAATCGAACAAATAGTTTTATTACAAGTTTTGTTTTGTCATTAGCTCTGTTGGTTAAGCTATCAAAATAGTAAAGCCTGATTTATACTACGCCCTTGAAGCCATGGACCCTATGGGATGAAATGTAATTCGCTTTTGCGCTGTTTCTAATTGCAGCATCTCTAGCTATTCTTCCTGATCGAATCACACTAAAATCCAAGATGACTGGGCTTTAAAATACCATGTAGCTGCTTCCTGTTGTCGGCTTCCAGGTGTATTGTGTTTGAATATTTTCTGCGTTGCAGTAATTTCTATAAAAGTAAATGTATTTTTTCTATCTAGCTACTACTCTAACTTGATTCACTTCGTTTCTCTTTGTTTAAATTACCTGACAATGCCAGGAAAACATAAACACAACGGATGTGAAATTCCACCACTAACTAGCTTTTCGTGGGAGTCATTGCTGAGTTGCACAGACACACAAGCACACCAGTATAAATGCTAACATCGATGTGAACAAACGGCATCCTGAAGCACAAACCACAACTACAAACTCTCTTAGTTTCTTCAGTCCAATAAATAAAGGACTCCAGCTTATAAACCAGTGTATGTAAACAATCTCTCTTTGTGGGTATGCAATGCTTAACTGGCTTCTTAACCAGGTAATGAGTTAGCAAAGAGTGCACACTGTTACGCTTTGATGAATTGGTTCATTGCTAACCACAGGCTGCACAAAACATGGACGAAGTCCCCGTGACATCACCCGTCGTTACTGAAAGAGAATTTGAAGTCCAACGATGGTGTTCCCCATATTGAAAAATCTGACTTTTGGTCCTCATTGAAAAGCAAAGAGAAGGCACTGAGGCGGGCCTTAAGCCTCCTGGACAACGCACTTGCTTGCAGTCATATCTGTAAGCCCTCAATTATACAAAACTGTTAACTGTCATAAAAGCAAATTTTCTATAACTCATCAAAAATGGATGACTTTTTAACCCCCACCCACTGTACAGTGTGTGCCGATAAAGACGTGAACTAAGTGTAGGGGGTTACCCTACCCTACCAAAGAGGGTTTTGGTAGCAGGCTATAAACATGCTTATTTCTGTCGCTTAAATGAACATTTAGAAAAACAAGCAACATTTTTTTTTCTTTGAACCAGGAAGTCACATGGACATTGAAGGCCTTGTTTTACTAGTAGTATAAATCAGGCTTGAAAGAAGTGAATACATCTACATCTATAATTTACTTACAGACGTAACACTCAGCCAAGCTATAAAGACTATGACACATTTACCGTGACAGTTTAGCTTGTTAGCATGCTAACATTTTAGGTACACAAGCAAAACAGAACAGGATATCTAATGGACCTATTGTAGAAAAGTCACAGTCAAATATTTAAACCCTGCAGAGTGCTTTGGGAAATGGCCACCATTGATGTAAAGTAAATTAAATTTGTAGTGAAAATCAAACCTGAAATTCACCTCCAAACATCAGCTATTTTATAAATCTGAGGGGAAGGTTGAACACAAGTGTGGTGATAAATTGTTTGAAAGAGCAATAAGGAATGGACTAAATACAATGATTCGTCATCTCAAAGGGCATTCATGTTTGTTTGTGGACAAGCAACACAACTGAAGAATCGAACTGTAAACGATCAACATGAGCTGTCAATCACAGAGTCTGATTCTGTCAGGTTGAAGCTGCTACAGTTGTTCATTTGAACATGAGACATTAATATATGACATTAGACTAAGCTGCTTAAAATTGATCAGTAGTGACTGATAGATTGATTTTATTAATGTATATCTTTTTTATTAATCATTACTTGAATCAGTATGCGAAGCAGAAATTCAAGTTTCATGTCCAAACAGTACCATAATAAATATCTCTAGATGATCAGAGGAGGCAGTTGTAGTCAGATGTTTTTATTTCGTATAACATTTCAATGCTGTTGATATGAATCACTGTAATCTTTAAACAAATTATGTTTCTTCAGAGGAGAAGATTTTAAATGGTGAGGTGTTGAAGTGTCTCACATGTTTAGAGCCTTTGTACAGTGTACATGACATTAAATAAATATTTTCTAAACAAGCTGGAAACATGGACTCCATATTCTATTATTTATTTTGTTATTTCTGCACTGCCTCGAGAAGGGGTGCTGCTCCCTGTTGGTGAAAAGTGGTACTACATATGTGAGCTTTAAAGGTGTAGGTCATGCACATTTCATTAAAGCTCTTTAGTACTCAATAGATTTTACGATTCACCATCATGTTTAAGTCATATCACTTTTAATCTGTGTCTTTTGCCGATCTGTTTTTCATTTCACTGTTCACTACGATTACTAAAATCCGTCAGCTTCTGGACAACACATACTGACCTGGCAGAAGCTAAACCCTGAAATATCAGAACACACAAAGGTTTCAACATTTTCAACATTTCAATACCACCTGTTTTTAAGCTATACAAGCTCCCTTATGCAAATTATTAAAAGTATCGTTGCTGTACTGAAACATGGCCAATATATTTGTGTTTTTTAGACACTGTGAAAGAGTTTGGCTGCAGTTTTAGGCATAAAAAATAGATATCCTTGTCACTGGGTGCCTTGACTTATTTTTTTTGCCGTGGTTTCCAAACAGAAATCAGTATAATGTCTGGTATTGTGACAACTCAGGAACTCACACATATCTGGATTAACTTCAATATCATCATCCTTAGTTTGCCTGTACAAAAGAAAATGATGGTTCTGCTCCAGGTTTCTACCTGTTCAACATGAGTCTGGTTCTGATCCAGGTTTCTGCCTGTTCATCAAGAGTCTGGTTCTACTCCAGGTTTGTGCCTGTTCATCATGAGTCTGGTTCTGCTCCAGGTTTGTGCCTGTTCATCATGAGTCTGGTTCTACTCCAGGTTTGTGCCTGTTCAACGTGAGTCTTGTTCTGCTCTAGGTTTGTGCCTGTTTATCATGAGTCTGGTTCTGTCTGTTCATCATGAGTCTGGTTCTACTCCAGGTTTGTGCCTGTTCATCATGAGTCTGGTTCTGCTCCAGGTTTGTGCCTGTTCATCATGAGTCTGGTTCTACTCCAGGTTTGTGCCTGTTCAACGTGAGTCTGGTTCTACTCCAGGTTTGTGCCTGTTCATCATGAGTCTGGTTCTGCTCCAGGTTTGTGCCTGTTCATCATGAGTCTGGTTCTACTCCAGGTTTGTGCCTGTTCAACGTGAGTCTTGTTCTGCTCCAGGTTTGTGCCTGTTCATCATGAGTCTGGTTCTACTCCAGGTTTGTGCCTGTTCAACGTGAGTCTTGTTCTGCTCCAGGTTTGTGCCTGTTTATCATGAGTCTGGTTCTACTCCAGGTTTGTGCCTGTTCAACGTGAGTCTTGTTCTGCTCTAGGTTTGTGCCTGTTTATCATGAGTCTGGTTCTGTCTGTTCATCATGAGTCTGGTTCCGATCCAGTTTTCTGTCTTTTCATCATGAGTCTGGTTCTTCTCCAGGTTTCTGTCTGTTCACCATTAGTCTGGTTCTGCTCCAGGTTTCTGCCTGTTCAACATGAGTCTGATTCTTCTCAAGGTTTCTGTCTGTTCAACATGAGTCTGGTCCTGCTCCAGGTTTCTGTCTGTTCAACATGAGTCTGGTTCTGCCTGTTCAACATGAGTCTGGTTCTGCTCCAGGTTTCTGTCTGTACAACATGAGTCTGGTTATGCTCCAGGTTTGTGCCTGTTCTACATGAGTCTGGTTTTGCTCTAGGTTTGTGCATGTTCAACATGAGTCTGGTTCTGTTCCAGGTTTCTGTCTGTTCAACATGAGTCTGGTCCTGCTCCAGGTTTCTGCCTGTTCAACATGAGTCTGGTTCTGATCCAGGTTTCTGCCTGTTCATCATGAGTCTGGTCCTGCTCCAGGTTTCTGTCTGTTCAACATGAGTCTGGTTCTGCCTGTTCAACATGAGTCTGGTTCTGCTCCAGGTTTCTGTCTGTACAACATGAGTCTGGTTCTGCTCCAGGTTTCTGTCTGTTCACCATGAGTCTGGTTCTGCTCCAGGTTTCTGCCTGTTCAACATGAGTCTAGTTCTGTTCCAGATTTCTGTCTGTTCATCATGAGTCTGGTTCTGCTCTAGGTTTCTGTCTGTTCAACATGAGTCTGGTTCTGCTCCAGGTTTGTGGATGTTCAACATGAGTCTGGTTCTGCTCCAGGTTTGTGGATGTTCAACATGAGTCTGGTTCTTCTCCAGGTTTCTGCCTGTTCATCATGAGTCTGGTTGTGTTCCAGGTTTCTGCCTGTTCAACATGAGTCTGGTTCTGTTCCAGGTTTCTGCCTGTTCATCATGAGTCTGGTTCTGCTCCAGGTTTGTGGATGTTCAACATGAGTCTGGTTCTGCTCCAGTTTTCTGCCTGTTCATCATGAGTCTGGTTTTGCCTGTTCAACATGAGTATGGTTCTGCTCCAGGTTTCTGTCTGTTCAATATGAGTCTGGTTCTGCTCCAGGTTTGTCTGTTCATCATGAGTCTGGTTCTGCCTATTCTACATGAGTCTGGTTCTGCTCCACATTTCTGCCTGTTCAACATGAGTCTGGTTCTGTTCCAGGTTTCTATCTGTTCATCATGAGTCTGGTTCTGATCCAGTTTTCTGTCTGTTCAACATGAGTCTGGTTCTATTCCAGGTTTCTATCTGTTCATCATGAGTCTGGTTCTGATCCAGGTTTCTGTCTGTTCATCATGAGTCTGGTTCTGATCCAGGTGTCTGTCCATCATGAGTCTGGTTCTGCTCCAGGTTTCTGTCTGTTCATCATGAGTCTGGTTCTGCTAATCGGATGAAACATTGTTGAAGGGAGGTTCCCAATTGAAATCCCCAGTGAAGTCCGAGCTTTTGCTGACTGTCAGTCTACACACTTCAGTTGTGGGCGGCCAGATGCGACTATCTAATAGGGCAGGTAGTATCGACGTTGGCATCAACTATTAACTCACATGAACCTGGTCTGGGTCTATTGAAGGTGGCGATGCTGGTTTGGTTGTGTTGGTAACTAAGGCCATAGAGTAGGATATGTAACTTATCAGTTGAGCCAAGGGGCATAATTGGGAAGATGGATTTCTACACTGAGCCCTTATCCTTATTAGCGCACAAGTACACCTTGTGTTTATTTCAAATAAATAAACTTACCTGGACACAAATCACCGCCAATGTCAAGGTAAAATTTATCATCCCAACAGGGCAATTTGCTTTATAGCCAGCAGTGAATAACACAAGAAAAAGTGAGTCTCATTCACACAATAACACTGAAAACCATCAAGGGGGAAAAGAAACCAACGGCACTTGGAGTCAACATTATGATGATCAGTTTACCTGAAGAAAACTAAAGGCTGTCATATGTCAACAACATATATATCTGTCACTCTCACCCATCCCAAGCTGCCATTGTCCACCCTAATAAAGTAAGGTCAGACTAATGTTATGTGTATTTTGTGCTTTGAGACTCTGGGGTAAAAGAAAATAAGTCCAGATTTTGAGAAACAACCAGAAAAAAACTTTCTTTCAGTGAAAAACAAAGTAAATCAAATGTATGAATGCATGTCTACTTTGGGCTTCCATAGTTTTCTTTTCATAAGAAAAAAGAGATTCTGTATATTTTTTTAACATCATTTTAATTTGTTCATTATTGCAATCAAGTCAAACGTTTCCATCCTGACGGGGTTTATAACAACACAACATCTTTACAAGTGCCCAAAAATATATCTCAATGACTTTGTCTTTATATTTGGCAACTTATAAATCTCTGCTAAAACAAATAACAATATATATACTATTTTATTCATGAAAAAATACATTGTCCATTTCCACAACAAATAGTTACGTGTTATACGTACAGTAGATTTCTTATATGACACCTGGAACATGCTACAACTGAAAAACATGAAGATACAGAGTAAATAATGAGCCGGATACTGAAAATACAGAGTAAATAATGGTAAAGGGACGGACACTGAAGATACAGAGTAAATAATGGGCTGGATACATCAGATACAGAGTAAATAATGGGCCGGGTAATGAAGATACAGAGTCAATAATGATAATGGGACGGACACTGACGATACAAAGAAAATAATGGGCCAGGTAATGAAGATACAGAGTAAATAATGGGCCGGATACTGAAGATACAGAGTAAATAATGATAATGGGACAGACACTAAGATACAAAGAAAATAATGGGCCAGGTAATGAAGATACAGAGTAAATAATGGGCCGGATACTGAAGATACAGAGTAAATAATGATAATGGGACGGACACTGAAGATACAGAGTAAATAATGGGCCTGATACTGAAGATACAGAGTAAATAATTGGCTGGATACTGAATATACTGAGTAAATAAAGGGCCGAAGATACAGAGAAATTAAGTGCTGGAGGACTCTCCTGTCAGGCTCTGACCCTGGACGCAATCAGATGAATGATTGAGCAGATTCTGGTCATATTTAAACATTTATTTCAGCCTTTATGAAAAAGTGGATGTGTGTATATTTGTGGTACTGTTCCTCTAACATCCAGTAACATTGACCAATAATAAAACTAGCACTCACAGTGACGAGAATGTTTTCTAACTGAGGAGAGAGGACTACATCCCTGTCTCAACTCCTTCAGAGCTGTCTGTCTGTCTGTCTGTCTGTCTGTCTGTCTGTCTGTCTACCTCTCTGTCTGTCTGTCTGTTTGTCTGTCTGCCTGCCTGCCTGTCTCTCTACCTCTCTGTGTGTCTGCCTGCCTGTCTGTCTGTCTGTCCGTCGTGTTTCACTAAAACAAAATGCTACATGTATCGTGGTAATCAGGGTTATCGTTCTTAGTTTTGGTTGGTCCTGGATGTTGACCCTGCAGATGTCATTCATAGTGACATTATAGACCAAGTAGAGTTATACATTATATAACCCCTAATGTAGTTTCCCCCGAAAATATTCCAACAAATAATTTTAATATCAAACATGAAATAATCTCAAATAAGGAACCCGCTGTTCAGTAGAATCTATCAGTAATTGTGGATTATGGCACCCCCTGTGGTCAAAGTATGTAGTGTCCACGTCACACTAAGTCCTAAATCCAAAGACACTTAAAGAAGCCAAACATCCGGCTGTAGGTTGTAAGTTCTTATGTGTTCACAGTGTTAAAATAAAGTTTCTATAAAAAATAAAGATTAGAACAGAGTTCAGCATGTAGTGTTGATCTTTACAAAGATTTAGGATCAATATCAGACCTGTAGTCCTCACCACCAACAACAAGACAACAAAGCGGACAAGGTGGACACTGATGACCTGTTTCTGCTAAGGGTCTGATTCACATAAGGATTGATTCAGACCCTTAGCTCAACCTGTGATAAGGAGTTTAAATGACACTGTCAAATTCACCACATGCAAAGAGTTAAATGTTCCCCTAACTGCGCTGCAGAGCAAACAGTGTGTCTGTGTTTATTATTCAGTCATTTGAGAAACAATTGTCTCTTTCTCTGTAGATCAGCCTCATTGTAAAAAGAGTCTAACTCACAAACAGAGGGCGCTACCAGCCACATACAGTTAGAGTGAAAAAATTAACGTCTGCTGAGAGTTGGTGGTAACAGCGCCATAGGATTTATAAGAGATGTGACACTCAAAAATTCCAGTGATCAGTAAAGCAATTACATCTCTGTATGCCTTCAAAATAACATATATTAAAACGCAAACTGAAGTTCACTTCTTAAAATCTAAAGCAGCTGCAGACTGTTTAAATCTGAAGCTGCTGCAGACTCTTTAAATCTGATGCTGCTGCAGACTCTTTAAATCTGAAGATGCTGCAGACTCTTTAAATCTGAAGCTGCTGCAGACTCTTTAAATCTGAAGCTGCTGCAGACTCTTTAAATCTGAAGCTGCTGCAGACTCTTTAAATCTGATGCTGCTGCAGACTCTTTAAATCTGAAGCTGCTGCAGACTCTTTAAATCTGAAGCTGCTGCAGACTCTTTAAATCTGATGCTGCTGCAGACTCTTTAAATCTGAAGCTGCTGCAGACTCTTTAAATCTGAAGCTGCTGCAGACTCTTTAAATCTGAGGCTGCTGCAGACTCTTTAAATCTGATGCTGCTGCAGACTCTTTAAATCTGAAGCTCCTGCAGACTCTTTAAATCTGAGGCTGCTGCAGACTCTTTAAATCTGAAGCTCCTGCAGACTCTTTAAATCTGAAGCTGCTGCAGAATCTTAAAATCTGAATGTGCTGCAGACTGTTTAAATCTGAGGCTGCTGCAGACTCTTTAAATCTGAAGCTCCTGCAGACTCTTTAAATCTGAGGCTGCAGCAGACTCTTTAGATCTGAAGCTGCTACAGACTCTATACATCTGAGGCTGCTGCAGACTCTTTAAATCTGAAGCTGCTGCAGACTCTATACATCTGAAGCTGCTGCAGAATCTTAAAATCTGAATGTGCTGCAGACTGTTTAAATCTGAAGCTGCTGCAGACTCTTTAAATCTGAGGCTGCAGCAGACTCTTTAAATCTGAAGCTGCTGAACTACATGAGACTTGAACATCGAGTCATATAAGTACTTTATATTGTAAATATTACAACAGCTCTTCATGCTGTTTTCTTATTTTACAATATCTCATCACATTGCAGGTAGCAGAGAAGACGCTCATGTTGAGATCACTGTAACGAGGTGAGAATCAAACAAAGCGACACAGAATGTTCAAAAAGCTTCACAAATATCCGACTAAAAGTTCACGTCACGAGACGTTTCCCTTGTGCTGAAAACTCTTTTAGAGAAACAAAAAGAATAGAACAGAATAAATCGATGATACTTTTATGAATTTGAAACACTGCATATTTAAAGGTGTGTTTTGTTTTCTGTGCAGCAGCTGCAGAACATCTGGAATGAATGAACCGTACATGTGCTGTATTCTATAATCTCTGGTTATAAAGTGCTGCACTGGGAGTGATTTCAGGGGTTAAAAAAAGTGAAGCTAAACCTCTCTAACACTGACTGTGCAGGTCAGGGCGGGACTTGAGTTCTGGTCTCTCTAACACTGACTGTGCAGGTCAGGGCAGGACTTGGACTCTGGTGTCAGGTCACGAGCAGAAGGTTGACTGCAGCTGCTTGAATGCAGCTTGTCTTTGTTTCTTCTCCACTTCCTGTCTCTTTTGTTCTTCTTTCTCCTCTCGGATCTCCGCCTCAAACATACTGCCTGCAGCTGCAACCTTCATCTGTGCAAACACAAGAAGGACGATGTCACTCTCACCCAGCATCATTCATCCTGAAATCTCATGTCGCCTGGAATTTAAAGGGCTATTGTCCTTTGACAGCAGCTCTGGGTTCATGGGGAGAAAGAATGCAGATCAAGAAACTCAAACTTCACCCTAAAAATAACCAAGTTAGAAATGTAGTTTTGTTACATTGATGATGTAGTACTGTACCCCAACCACCAGGGGGCAGCCAAGCAGCATTTTCTACAGGCACATAAAAACATTTCATTGAAACGCTGCGGGCAGGTGACTAATAAAAGTTTCAGAGTTTTATTTCCAGATATACACTTTTTTTTTTATAAATAAGACTTTAGTAAAACTTTTATTCTGGTGTTCAAGTTCTTGTGATGCCCTCGGCTTGTCTGTTTTTATCTCAGATGAACTCTTTCATGGTTTTATTTCCCAGCAAGGTGTTTGATTCAGGTAATGCCCGATCTGCACTGCAGCTGGAATCGTTACCTGAGTTCATATTTCATGAATGAAAGGACTAAAAGGACTAAAAGGACTCAGCTGGTCAGAAACAAATATGATGAACACCAAGAACAAGTAAAACAGCCGTCATGATAAAGACGTGGTTAAAGGATTAAACAAAGGAGTACCTTTGCTTCAAAGAAGTCTTTGGCTCCCATCACTCCCTCTGTGGAGACGTTGATCTCTGACAGACGAGCCAGAGCCATCAGGCCACTCTCCTCCTGCAGCTCTCCGGCCGCCGCTCGCCTGAAGATCAGCAGGAACTGCCGGAGACAAAGTTTGAACACAATGAGTAAAGATGGAAACATGACATGTGCGTGTCATCGATGGAGAAACACTGAAGCCTTAAAAGGGCGGTAACATCCGCAGCAGAATGGTCACATGACTTTCGAACTCCATTCATAAAAACATAGATTTAGGGCAACCTCACACGAGGCAAATCTGTCCCGTATCATGCTTAAAGGCTTTATATGTGATTTTTTTGATCCAGCAGATGTCGCCCTTGAGCACCAGCATGAAACCAAAACAACTTGCGGTGTATTTTTGTGTTAGCATGCTAATGCTAGCGATCTTTATCATGCTCGTATCTTCACACTGCATGTAAATTTACCTGAAATGAGCGTGATCTAGAAACGAAGTTAAGCAGTGAGTACAGTATGTTATTCTTCTTTTCTCTAGTCCCTCAATTAAAAAACTTTTATACACGAGGGGAGGAGTCAGCCGCCATCCCAACGATGTAAACAAACTGAAGATAGGACTCTGAAACCTCTGAAAACATCACAGACAGTGGGACTCGGGTGTTACACCCATTGTAGACGGTCATGACTCACAGAGTTATTTTCAGAGGATATACTTGATTTCTATTCCATTTAAGTGTGAAAAATCGCATATAAAGCCTTTAAGAACGATTGTCCTCGCCCCCCCATTCCCCCGCTGGCCTGCGCTCACACTGCTCCAGGACTAACCGGGTCTGAGCACGTTACCTCTGTACATAACGTCGTAAAACAACACATGCACGCCGTTATGTTATTATGAAGCATGCTCAGTTTACAAGACGGACTCAAACCCTAAACCAGCCATCGGAGAACAACACAGAGAACATGACGGCTACTTTACTAACTTTGTGGTTTATTTTTTTTAATTTTTTTTTAAAGATTTATTTTGGGCTTTTCGTGCCTTTAATGAGGAGAGAGGACAGTGGATAGAGTCGGAAACCAGGGAGAGAGAGCGGGGAATGACATGCGGAAAGGGGCCACGGGTGGAAGCGAACCCGGGCCTACCGCTCGAGATGAGAGTCTCAATACATGGCACGCGCGCCCCAACCATTGCGCCACCAGCGCAACTGCTTCCATAATGAAGAATTTCCACGTTGCGTTCCCGCGTGTTGTACTCGTTCATGAAGTGTACCGTGCTTGAACACGAATCGGAGCACACACACTAGACAAACGAACCGGACTTTAGGGGTGAAGTGTGCTTTGGCACGGCCTCCATCAGTTTGTTAAGATTAAGATTTACTTTTATTGATCCCCGCAAGGTGAAGAGAGTTTTTACACACTCGGTAAGTCATGCAACACACACATAGGCTGAAATATACACACACATGCACAAACAGGATCCTACGGATGTCAGAGTGACGGAGCTGCCCACAGTGGACGCTCCTGAGCTGGTGGTGGGGAGGGTTTAGTGCCTTGCCCTTGCTCAAGGGCACCTCTGCAAACTTACATATTTGGTCCACACCAGGACTTGAGCCGGCGACCCTCCGGTTCCCAACCCAAGTCCCTACAGATTGAGCTACTGCCCACCAGTATGTCAGAATATGACACCACCTGGTAAGTATTTAAAACTCTAACACAGAGGTAGTGAAGGAGGGTGGAGCAGCTGATAAACAGTCCTTCACAGTAAAATGAGTCTTTTTGTAAAAATCTAACATTTTATTATTTATTCTGTTGAAGTATTTAATCTATGATTAAACTGTTTAATGACTTTTCAAAATAAATAATACAAAAATATTTCGGGTCTAGACTTTGGATAAACGAAAGAAAACAACAGACTGTTTGATCTGAATCCAATATGAAGACAAATACATGTTATTATTTTATGATTATGCATCATTATGTCCAAGAATACTTAAGTATAAACTTTTAATTTGAAGAGATTTATTGACAAATAACTGAATCACATCCAGAAAACATTCGTAAAGCTTCTTTGAGACGACAAATAGTTTTTCTTAGTTTGATTTCTTCTCTTCACAAAGGAGGATAATTTCAGTATGAATGACACACCTACACACAAACACACACACACACACACACACACACACACACACACACACACACACACACACACACACACACACACACACACACACACACACACACACACACACACACACACACACACACAAACGCACACACATACACACACACCCAGCTCAGTGTGGGGTTTATAAAATAAATCAGAGTTATTCTCTCGGTCTTACCTCCCTGAAGCTCAGCTTCCCGTCGAAGTCTTCGTCGACCTCTTTGATCATGTTCTTCAGACCCAGGTGAGTCTGAGGAGCTCCGAGTTTCTCCATCATCAGCTTCAGCTCCATCAGGTCGATGAAGCCGTCTTTACCTGTGTCGTACCTGCACAACACAAAACATGCACACACTTTAAGTATGACAGCCATAATTCTGTTTAGGCTGCATTCAAAGAGGGTGCAGCTCCACAAAACCTGATGCACATTTAGTAGATGATGTTTTACTATAAGACAATGACTTTATGTACACATGCTTAAGCAGCAACATGTGATCTTACCTCTAACCCCTAACACATGGACATAGTTGTAAGGTTGGACAAAATGTATTTGAACAGTTTAGACCGTGTCACCAAGTCTGCTCTGTCTGTTTCTAAGAGACATGAATGTAACTGTTTTTATCTTTGAGACTTTAAACATGTCAGTATTTACCGACCTGTGAATTTAAACGGACCCACGCTGCTCTCTCTTTCACTGGCTTTGGAAACTATTGATCAGTAAAATATCAGATATTATATTATTTGAAATGATGTAGTATCAAAACTGAACCTAAGCCTGTAGTGGAAAAATAACACTCAAAATCATCTTCATATGTCATGTGCCCTCTTTACATTGGTTTCTCCGTCTTATCCGACAGCTGATGCTAGCTATGCTGATGCTAAGGTAAGAATGATAGCATTCATCTCATATCTGTCAGACTTTTTCTCCAGAGCTATCTGAATGTAAAAACGTGATCACAGCTCTAGTTTATACTCAAACTTTATTTGTGATTTGAAGAAATTAGTTTATCTTCTCAGTATCTCAGTTCAATTCAGCTTCTTTACAAGTCCTCTCACCTCCATCACGTCTGCATGTGAGACTCTGTTATCATCCACTGAGAGCCTTACAGGCTTATGTCTGATTGGAGCAGTATTTATAGAAGCTTTCAGCAGCTGTGCATGTGTGTGTGTGTGTGTGTGTGTGTGTGTGTGTGTGTCTGTGTGTGTGTGTGTGTGTGTGTGTGTGTGTGTGTGTGTACATATACATAGACTTATCTTTCAGGCGGAGAACCAAGTCATTGTTTTGGAAAAGGCCACGAAATCTACCTCAGACTTGCAGTCTCCGGAGAGGAAACAAAAAAAATCTACTGCTAAGCAAAACCTGTGATTGTTAGCATCATGTGATTCATTCTGGCTCATTAGATCCTAACCCTGTCACACTATGGTGGCATCATAAAAACACACCTGGAATCTAAATCCATCCAATTCAGTCCGACCCCTGGATCCATGTTGGCCCTGATACAGACTTTAAAAGCCAGATATGATTGTTCAGATATCTGTTTATTTATCCGGAATCTAAATCTGTTTGGTCTCAGAAACGCCATCCATCCATCCATCAGACCGTTCAACCATCCATCCCTCATCATCCATCCATCCCCTCGCCCATCCATCCATCCCTTTGCCCATCCATCCCTTTGTCAGTCAATCCATCCATCCCTTTGCCCATCCATCCCTTTGTCAGTCAATCCATCCATCCCTTTGTCCATCCATCCATCCATATGGCGTCAGGTCTTGGTGGCAGCAGGCTGAGCAAGTTAGTCCAGACTTCCCTTTCCTCAACAGTTTTTCCTCCTGGGGGACCTTGAGGCATTCCCAGTGCAGATGGGTAAAGGCTCCTTCACCTCAAAGACTCCTCCCAGTTGGACACACCCAGAAATCCTCCAAAGGGTGACGCCAAAGAGGCTTCCGACTCAAGGCGAGAATAGAAGAACTTCTCATCAAGTGCAGAATGATATCAAGTAGAGGTTCAGTGTTTCCCCTAGGTTTACAGCGTTGGGGGGTGGGGACAAGCCGACACACTTGAAGGAATCTTGGTGTTCATGTGTTACTTTTAATGACAGCTGTCCCTTTCGATCGGAAAGGTATCCTTAAATGACTTCTTTCCCTGATTTCCGACTCTATCCACTATCCTATCTCTACAATAAAGGCCCAAAAAGCCCCCAAAAATATATTTTTTTACTTGACCTTCAAGGGGGGTGGGGGGGGGCGTTGGGGGGCGGGCCAAACCCCTAATATAATGGTAGGGGTAACACTGAGGTTTATTACTCACTTATTTAAACAGAGAGGCTCTTGGAGGAGTGTTTTCTGACCCTCCTCTGTTCCTGTCCCTCCTCTGTTCCTGACCCTCCTCTGTCCCTCCTCTGTTCCTGTCCCTCCTCTGTTCCTGTCCCTCCTCTGTTCCTGTCCCTCCTCTGTTCCTGTCCCTCTTCTGAGGCTCACAAAAGCCCCATGTCCACCAAGAGGTAAAGTTTGGTAGGTAAACCCTGATCTAGCTTGTGTTTCCACAACCAACTGTACCCTTACTTGTTAAGCAGAGTTTAAGCTTGATGGCGATAGCCATGTCCAGTTACGTAAAAGTGTGACATCATAGTAGTGTGACATAGCGTAGCCTGCCATTGAATGAAGAAGAACCTGACACAGTAAACAAAGGGCAACAATGGAAGGACGTCCAGCAGAGGTCAGCACCTCCAAAGTTATCCATGGGACTAAGTTACAGGCAAAACAGACAAACCTTAAACAAGCTCAAATTCTGCGTACCTAGCTGTGTTTACAACGTCACTTATTGCTAAATAAATCTTTTAACGGAAGCTCTGGTGTGCAGATCTTTTTGCTTCTATCTGTTATGGTTATCTGTTTGTTTTATCAAACTGGTGATACTGGTACTCAGATTGAACATCAAGTCAAAGATAATATTTTTGATCAGTATCTTTGAAGTCTTGAAAGTCTACATCCCGGGAAATACATTTGTTTATTGTACACACATACACACACACACACACACATATATATATAT